GAGTTGGCTCTGCTTCTGTTATCTGGAGAGACATTCTGGCGTTGGTACATGCTAATCCTAGGCTATATAACTTTTTTGTTGAGAATGTAGAGCTCAAGATTGGTGATGGAAATAGGGTGAAATTCTGGGATGATATCTAGAGGGGATCTATAAGCCTCAAATCTCAATTCCCTAGGCTGTATCAACTGTCTGTAGACAAAGAGATCACTGTGAAGTTGCAGATCGCTTGTCGGGAGAGCAGTAACAATTGGTGCTTCAACTTTCGAAGATCCCTCCTGGGCTGGGAGGCGGATGAGGTGATTCGGTTGCAAAATATGCTGGGATCGGGGCCTTGCCTGCACAATGGCCAGAAGGACTCCATTAGTTGGAAGGCTCACCGCTCAGGAGTGTTTAAAGTTGGAGATGTCTACGATTGGTATGTGCAAAGTCTTAGCCGTGCGCATAGTGTAACAGATTTAGTGTGGAAGAATTTTGCACCTCCAAAGGCCCAATTCATCACTTGGCTTGCTTGGAAAGGTAGGCTGAAAACCTCTTCATTTCTTAACAGAATAGGAGTCCTAACAGGGTCTGAATGTGTGCTGTGCAAAGCTGAGGAGGAAACTGCTAGCCATCTCCTGCTGTTCTGTCCCTTTTCGTGGAATGTTTGGTCTAAAATCATGGTCTGGTGGGGAATTCAGTGGGTAATTCCAGGCTCGGTTGAGGAGCTGATGCATTGGTGGTTGGGGTGGAAATTTAGGAAAAAGGCAAAGCAAGTCTGGAGAGCTATCTTCATCTCTGTGATTTGGTCTTTATGGAGATACAGAAATGACTGCACGTTTAACAATACCCAACCTGATATTGAGGAGTTGTGTGAGGTAATAAAGGTAAGAGTGGCCATATGGGTAAAGTACTATGGGATGGGATGTGCATACTCTATTCATGAGATTATTGCAAATATCAAATGGGTGAGCCAACAGATTTAAGGGTGAACCAACATATATAAAGTTGCTGCTGTCTGCTGGGGAGATTCTGTTAGGTGTGGTGTGTTTGCTGCTGTCTGATGGGGAGTGTTTTTAACTTTTAGGCTATTTTATACACTTCTTAAACAAACTCTAACATTGTGTTTGGTTGGAAAATTTAAGAAGAGATTTGGAAAGGAAAAATAAAAAGTAAGTAAAATATGAATAAAATATATTTATATTTCACTTAATTTCACAAATATTTTCTATTTCCTTTTTAAATCCTTCAAATTCTCAAACCCAACACAGCATAAGTAATCCTATTAATAAATAATTCTATTAACTTTGCATTTTTTTCCCACTTACCTATTGAAGGAAGCCACATCATTCTGTGAATAATTATGGTTCCTCTTCAATGTTAGTAGAACTAGTCTTAGTTTAATTAGTACAAAGCAGGTGACATCATTTTATGTATGCTCAGTATATAGCTTAAATTAGATATAACATCACGGCCAAATTACACAAGTAACCTCTGTATTTTGGTTTTTATATTAATTTAGTCCATATAATTTTAATTACCTTGATTTTGACTTTAAATTTATGATTTTAACTCAATTGATTACAATTGTTAGTAAATATATATATATATATATATATATATGTATATGAAAAATGAGCACATAAGTGACATATATTATGTTTATTGTGGGGACATATTTTGTGAATGATAACACGTGGCCAAGGTGACACCGAAGTGTCAACCGAGATGCCATGTGTCTTGGTCATGACGCCGAGGTGATCTCAGCTAGGCCGAGGTTATCTGCGGAGATACTGGAATGCGAGATGAGCGGATAAGGGACAAGAGTCCTAGAACTGGGGAAGGACTTTAGTATGGATAAATATAAAATTCTTAGGAAGTTTATCTCTATTCGGCTGGGAGTCCTAGATGAGCATTGAGCCAAAGTCCATTAAAATTAGGCTACTACAGGGATCAGGTTAGTACTAGTTATAAAACTAAGGCACCCTCGTGGGTCTAAGGTACGCTTCTTGTATTCTGGCTAGTGAGTTAAGCACTATTTGTTATCTTTGAGGGATAACTGAGTACTGAATTGATCGTCAGAGAGTGTTCCCGGGTGGACGAACCACCGCCGGAATCTTATCTTTCTATGACAGGTTGTTCGAGCGTGATCTATTCTATCTGTGCTCTCCTACTGAGTTCCTGTTTGGCAGTGTGGTCGGAAATCAGCACCCACAATTTGGTGGCGTTTGTGAGAAACGTAAGGAGAATAGATGGCCAATGACGGGCAGAAAGAAAATATTGGGGGTGACATGCCTAGTGGGAGTGGTAAAAACGTCGATCCTAACGTTGAGGAGAACAACTGTAATGAAGAACCTCGGGATAAAAATCCTGGGGAAAAAGGACGTCGGCCAAGAGGGAGACACATCGAAAAAAGCATGTTAAGGCGGGTATTACAACGAAAGCGACCTCCAGGTATGAAAAGATAAATGTCTGAGGAAGGACGGTGAGATGAAAGAAATGGCGAACAAGTTGGCAGACATACAATTGGTTGTCAACATCATGATGCAGAATAACGTCATGCAACCACCGTTTCCATTAGAAGGCACGCCGATTCCAGCGGCCAAGGACGATGCCGATAAAGGAGGACAAAAGCAATCTCTGCAGTCCTTCAGCATGACAGGGTAAAGGAGCATTTGCATCGGCCTTCACGGGAGGTCGAGCGAGGAGAATCGATGAGAGGGGAGTCTCAGAAGACACCTCGTGCCAAGGAAACTTATGTCAAGGAACATCGGCATATCGGAATACTCATTTAAAACCATATCCATACGAACACATATCGGAATACTCATTTAAAACCATGGACCCAACTTTTTAACAATAGACTATGAGAATTCTATCCAAGAACATAAAGTAGCCGAAAATATTTTTGAAAATGGAAGAGGAATGGGTTGTATCGATCGCTTTAATGATGGGGTATGGAAATGTTCATGCACTTAGCTCGTGTAGTCTGTTTTATTATTTTTGTGTCTTTGTCAGTCACCTTTTCTCTGTCTGTTCAATATATAAACACACACACTCACACTTTTCTTCAACCTCCATTGTCCCCTCATAAACCTCCATAACTTCTCTTCAACTTTCACTTTCCAATGGAGAGTCCATACATATTGCTCATCTCTCTCCTCCTAATCAGCTTCCTCCTTGCTCCGAGTCTGGCCTTGGCGTACAATATTCGTGCGATTTTCACATTTGGAGACTCAATTTTTGATGCAGGTAACAATCATTTCAACAAAAACTGCACTGCACAAGCAGATTTTCCGCCCTATGGATCGAGTTTTTTTCGCCATCCCACTGGTAGATTCACCAATGGCAGAACAGTTGTGGACTTCATTTGTGAGTGTTCTTGTTTTTCTTTTTCCTTCTAGTTCTGTTACAAACACGGGAATCAAATATAGAATGAAACAATACATGGCGGTGTTTGGGAAGGAATTTTTTAGGTTTTTTTTTTGTTTTTTTTCACTAAAAGACAAATTGGTTATAAAATAAAAAAAAACAAATCCAAACAAAATATCACATCAAATCTTATAATCATTTCACTTTTTTTCTCACAAACATCACATCCAATCACAAAAAAATCCAACTATCTTCTCAAAAAAAAAAAAAAAAAAATCTCCAATAATATCTTACAACTAAAAAAATCTACAAAAAAACCCACTTCCCAAACACCCACATAATACATATGATTGATAAGATTTTACAAAATTCATTGGTTGGATCAACTTCTTAATCTTTTTCCCTTTAGTTCCACTGCAAACACAAAAATTAAGTACAGAATAGAACATCAAATACACATAAGTTGATAAATATTTTATAGAATCTGTTATCCACTTGACAAATCCAACTTGTCCATTCATATGCATTTTTTATGTGATGTTGTGATCGATTTCTCAATACATATGAATTAATAATATTTTACTTGTATTTGTTGGTCGTATTCACTTCTAACAATTCTATATACATTCTGTGTACATTTTGTGATTGATTTCCATGTTGCTATATTATTGTTTGGGAGTTGCTATAACATCATTTGTTTTCTTTTTCACCATTTTGTCTAACTGAATTACATAACAATATATTATTTACTTTCATTAATTCTTTAATAAGTATATATATAGCAGGTGATATAAAATGATAACAAAACATGATTAAAATCCATATATATATATATATATATTGTGAGATATGTTTGGTTGATTTTTTGTAATGTATTGTTTTTGTCCTTTAGCTCAATTTGTTGGAATAGAATTACAAAAGCCATATCTTGAGTTACAAAGTGAAGTGATGAATGGAAGTATGAAGGAATATCCATCCAATGGCATCAACTTTGCAAGTGCTGGCAGCGGTGTCCTTCGTGGAACAAACCATTATTTGGTAAGAAAAACCCCCTCCACCCAAATAACAACTACTCTTTTTAAGAGTTTGATACCTTAAATTTTTATTTGTTGTAGTGATAATTAATGTGATCTAAATTCTTTCTATACCTAAAAAGCAAAAAACACTAGCATTTGTCTTGTGAAAATTAATTACTAATAAATTGGATTGTAGATATAGCAATGCTACACTTCTACAAAAAATTGAAAACAAAAATCAGAAGAATCCTTAGAATTTGATATTAATGGTCAAGACTTAGATTGTGACCACGATTAATTCATTACCCACACATATGTTTAATTCTCTCTATTATATGTTTGTAATGGATAAATTCTTTTACATATCTAATGATTACGAAATAGAAATACAAATTTATAATTATTTTAAATTAAAAAAAGATCATTACACTTATAATTGAATGATATAATGAAACATTTTCATTATAAATATGTAATGAAAAGGATCACAATCCCATCTGTCATATATTATATAGACAGTTACATAATAATAAGATTTTGACTTTTTATTACTATTATTCACTGATTTATCAGTTAATAATATCTGATATGATACGAACACATATCGGAATACTCATTTAAAACCATGGACCCAACTTTTTAACAATAGACTATGAGAATTCTATCCAAGAACATAAAGTAGCCGAAAATATTTTTGAAAATGGAAGAGGAATGGGTTGTATCGATCGCTTTAATGATGGGGTATGGAAATGTTCATGCACTTAGCTCGTGTAGTCTGTTTTATTATTTTTGTGTCTTTGTCAGTCACCTTTTCTCTGTCTGTTCAATATATAAACACACACACTCACACTTTTCTTCAACCTCCATTGTCCCCTCATAAACCTCCATAACTTCTCTTCAACTTTCACTTTCCAATGGAGAGTCCATACATATTGCTCATCTCTCTCCTCCTAATCAGCTTCCTCTTTGCTCCGAGTCTGGCCTTGGCGTACAATATTCGTGCGATTTTCACATTTGGAGACTCAATTTTTGATGCGGGTAACAATCATTTCAACAAAAACTGCACTGCACAAGCAGATTTTCCGCCCTATGGATCGAGTTTTTTTCGCCATCCCACTGGTAGATTCACCAATGGCAGAACAGTTGTGGACTTCATTTGTGAGTGTTCTTGTTTTTCTTTTTCCTTCTAGTTCTGTTACAAACACGGGAATCAAATACAGAATGAAACAATACATGGCGGTGTTTGGGAAGGAATTTTTTAGGTTTTTTTTTTTTGTTTTTTTTCACTAAAAGACAAATTGGTTATAAAATAAAAAAAAACAAATCCAAATAAAATATCACATCAAATGTTATAATCATTTCACTTTTTTTCTCACAAACATCACATCCAATCACAAAAAAACCCAACTATCTTCTCAAAAAAAAAAAAAAAAAAAATTCTCTCCTAATAAATATTGTATTACTATAATATCTTACAACTAAAAAAATCTACAAAAAAACCCACTTCCCAAACACCCACATAATACATATGATTGATAAGATTTTACAAAATTCGTTGGTTGGATCAACTTCTTAATCTTTTTCCCTTTAGTTCCACTGCAAACACAAAAATTAAGTACAGAATAGAACATCAAGTACACATAAGTTGATAAATATTTTATAGAATCTGTTATCCACTTGACAAATCTAACTTGTCCATTCATATGCATTTTTTATGTGATGTTGTGATCGATTTCTGTATATCCTAAAAAACACAATACATATGAATTAATAATATTTTACTTGTATTTGTTGGTCGTATTCACTTCTAACAATTCTATATACATTCTGTGTCCATTTTGTGATTGATTTCCACGTTGCTATATTAATTTATTGTTTGGGAGTTGCTATAACATCATTTGTTTTCTTTTTCACCATTTTGTCTAACTGAATTACATAACAATATATTATTTACTTTCATTAATTCTTTAATAAGTATATATATAGCAGGAGATATAAAATGATAACAAAACATGATAAATGTTTGCTGCCTAGGAATCAAGGAGGCCTTGGAATCCGTAACCTCTTATTGACTAATGAATGTTTGCTCCTCAAGTGGTGGTGGAGATATGCTTTGGAAGATGAGGCCATATGGAAATCAGTGATCTGTGCCAAGTATGGTGTATCCGGAGGTGGCTGGTATCCTTCATTGAATGGAGTTGGATCTGCTTCTGTTATCTGGAGAGACATTCTGGCGTTGGTACATGCTAATCCTAGGCTATATAACTTGTTTGTTGAGAATGTAGAGCTCAAGATTGGTGATGGAAATAGGGTGAAATTCTGGGATGATATCTGGAGGGGATCTATAAGCCTCAAATCTCAATTCCCTAGGCTGTATCAACTGTCTGTAGACAAAGAGATCACTGTGAAGTTGCAGATCGCTTGTCGGGAGAGCAGTAACAATTGGTGCTTCAACTTTCGAAGATCCCTCCTGGGCTGGGAGGCGGATGAGGTGATTCGGTTGCAAAATATGCTGGGATCGGGGCCTTGCCTGCACAATGGCCAGAAGGACTCCATTAGTTGGAAGGCTCACCGCTCAGGAGTGTTTAAAGTTGGAGATGTCTACGATTGGTATGTGCAAAGTCTTAGCCGTGCGCATAGTGTAACAGATTTAGTGTGGAAGAATTTTGCACCTCCAAAGGCCCAATTCATCACTTGGCTTGCTTGGAAAGGTAGGCTGAAAACCTCTTCATTTCTTAACAGAATAGGAGTCCTAACAGGGTCTGAATGTGTGCTGTGCAAAGCTGAGGAGGAAACTGCTAGCCATCTCCTGCTGTTCTGTCCCTTTTCGTGGAATGTTTGGTCTAAAATCATGGTCTGGTGGGGAATTCAGTGGGTAATTCCAGGCTCGGTTGAGGAGCTGATGCATTGGTGGTTGGGGTGGAAATTTAGGAAAAAGGCAAAGCAAGTCTGGAGAGCTATCTTCATCTCTGTGATTTGGTCTTTATGGAGATACAGAAATGACTGCACGTTTAACAATACCCAACCTGATATTGAGGAGTTGTGTGAGGTAATAAAGGTAAGAGTGGCCATATGGGTAAAGTACTATGGGATGGGATGTGCATACTCTATTCATGAGATTATTGCAAATATCAAATGGGTGAGCCAACAGATTTAAGGGTGAACCAACATATATAAAGTTGCTGCTGTCTGCTGGGGAGATTCTGTTAGGTGTGGTGTGTTTGCTGCTGTCTGATGGGGAGTGTGGATGTATCTAGCTAATGTTGGAGTAGCTCTGCTTTGGGTATTGGTTGTATCTCTGCTGGCCAAGGTTCACTGCTCTGGAGTGTCATGCTGCTGTGTGGTCATTATGGTGCACATGCTCATTCTCACATCTCTGCTGATATCTATTGGATGTCTGGTGGATCCCCCATCTGTTCTGCAGAATTTGTTTCCATCTGTCATGCTTGGCTTTCATGGTTGGGTAGGAGAAATATCAGTAGGCTTTGTATAGGTTTGCAGAAGGCTGTGTGTAAGTTTGGTTTCTCTCCAAACATACACTAAGCCTCTTGGTGTTTTGTTCCCCCTACTCTGTTTACTTCTTCAATTAATAAACTTTCTTTGCTCATCAAAAAAAAAAATATATATATATTGTGAGATATGTTTGGTTGATTTTTGATAATGTATTGTTTTTGTCCTTGTAGCTCAATTTGTTGGAATAGAATTACAAAAGCCATATCTTGAGTTACAAAGTGAAGTGGTGAATGGAAGTATGAAGGAATATCCATCCAATGGCATCAACTTTGCAAGTGCTGGGAACGGTGTCCTTCGTGGAACAAACCATTATTTGGTAAGAAAAACCCCCTCCATCCCAATAACAACTACTCTTTTTAAGAGTTTGATACCTTAAATTTTTATTTGTTGTAGTGATAATTAATGTGATCTAAATTCTTTCTATACCTAAAAAGCAAAAAACACTAGCATTTGTCTTGTGAAAATTAATTACTAATAAATTGGATTGTAGATATAGCAATGCTACACTTCTACAAAAAATTGAAAACAAAAATCAGAAGAATCCTTAGAATTTGATATTAATGGTCAAGACTTAGATTGTGACCACGATTAATCTGAAATTCATGATAATTTTCAAAACACTTTTCTAATGACATTGTATAAAACGAAGAGCAACAGTTTAGAACCATTTTTGGCTGCTTCTGCAGCTATTTATTTGCATTTGTTAGTTGTAATTTTAATCTAAAACCCTCTACAATGCAAATTTTAATGCTTCGGCATTGGTGTAACGACTGACTTATTTTTTCATCAAATGCTTGCCTTCCCCCAGCTCCATGCTGTGAGTGGTACCTTAGTTGGGAAATGCTCTCTAGTTTTTTTCCCTTCCCTTTTCTTTTTTACTTCCATTGTTAAGCAAAAATCAGAGTTATGCGACACTTTTTTATATTTGGAAGTTCTTAAAGTGTTGCTAAATGGAACCTTAGCTGTTTCTGTAACAATTACTCTCAATTGGACTGATATATGTAGATCAGAGAAAACCTGGAAGTACCTATCTCACTGTCATAACTGTGAACTGTTAGAATTTCCCATCTTTACCTTCACCTACTCCACTACACACTCCACTTCACCTACCTCTACTCCACTACACACTCCACTTCACCTAACCCACTATCACCTCCACTACACCTACTACCACATTACCTTCACCTACTCCACTACACACTCCACTTCACCTACCTCTACTCCACTACACACTCCACTTCACCTACCTCTACTCCACTACACACTCCACTTCACCTACCTCTACTCCACTACACACTCCACTTCACCTACCTCTACTCCACTACACACTCCACTTCACCTACCTCTACTCCACTACACACTCCACTTCACCTACCTCTACTCCACTACACACTCCACTTCACCTACCTCTACTCCACTACACACTCCACTTCACCTACCTCTACTCCACTACACACTCCACTTCACCTACCTCTACTCCACTACACACTCCACTTCACCTACCTCTACTCCACTACACACTCCACTTCACCTACCTCTACTCCACTACACACTCCACTTCACCTACCTCTACTCCACTACACACTCCACTTCACCTACCTCTACTCCACTACACACTCCACTTCACCTACCTCTACTCCACTACACACTCCACTTCACCTACCTCTACTCCACTACACACTCCACTTCACCTACCTCTACTCCACTACACACTCCACTTCACCTACCTCTACTCCACTACACACTCCACTTCACCTACCTCTACTCCACTACACACTCCACTTCACCTACCTCTACTCCACTACACACTCCACTTCACCTACCTCTACTCCACTACACACTCCACTTCACCTACCTCTACTCCACTACACACTCCACTTCACCTACCTCTACTCCACTACACACTCCACTTCACCTACCTCTACTCCACTACACACTCCACTTCACCTACCTCTACTCCACTACACACTCCACTTCACCTACCTCTACTCCACTACACACTCCACTTCACCTACCTCTACTCCACTACACACTCCACTTCACCTACCTCTACTCCACTACACACTCCACTTCACCTACCTCTACTCCACTACACACTCCACTTCACCTACCTCTACTCCACTACACACTCCACTTCACCTACCTCTACTCCACTACACACTCCACTTCACCTACCTCTACTCCACTACACACTCCACTTCACCTACCTCTACTCCACTACACACTCCACTTCACCTACCTCTACTCCACTACACACTCCACTTCACCTACCTCTACTCCACTACACACTCCACTTCACCTACCTCTACTCCACTACACACTCCACTTCACCTACCTCTACTCCACTACACACTCCACTTCACCTACCTCTACTCCACTACACACTCCACTTCACCTACCTCTACTCCACTACACACTCCACTTCACCTACCTCTACTCCACTACACACTCCACTTCACCTACCTCTACTCCACTACACACTCCACTTCACCTACCTCTACTCCACTACACACTCCACTTCACCTACCTCTACTCCACTACACACTCCACTTCACCTACCTCTACTCCACTACACACTCCACTTCACCTACCTCTACTCCACTACACACTCCACTTCACCTACCTCTACTCCACTACACACTCCACTTCACCTACCTCTACTCCACTACACACTCCACTTCACCTACCTCTACTCCACTACACACTCCACTTCACCTACCTCTACTCCACTACACACTCCACTTCACCTACCTCTACTCCACTACACACTCCACTTCACCTACCTCTACTCCACTACACACTCCACTTCACCTACCTCTACTCCACTACACACTCCACTTCACCTACCTCTACTCCACTACACACTCCACTTCACCTACCTCTACTCCACTACACACTCCACTTCACCTACCTCTACTCCACTACACACTCCACTTCACCTACCTCTACTCCACTACACACTCCACTTCACCTACCTCTACTCCACTACACACTCCACTTCACCTACCTCTACTCCACTACACACTCCACTTCACCTACCTCTACTCCACTACACACTCCACTTCACCTACCTCTACTCCACTACACACTCCACTTCACCTACCTCTACTCCACTACACACTCCACTTCACCTACCTCTACTCCACTACACACTCCACTTCACCTACCTCTACTCCACTACACACTCCACTTCACCTACCTCTACTCCACTACACACTCCACTTCACCTACCTCTACTCCACTACACACTCCACTTCACCTACCTCTACTCCACTACACACTCCACTTCACCTACCTCTACTCCACTACACACTCCACTTCACCTACCTCTACTCCACTACACACTCCACTTCACCTACCTCTACTCCACTACACACTCCACTTCACCTACCTCTACTCCACTACACACTCCACTTCACCTACCTCTACTCCACTACACACTCCACTTCACCTACCTCTACTCCACTACACACTCCACTTCACCTACCTCTACTCCACTACACACTCCACTTCACCTACCTCTACTCCACTACACACTCCACTTCACCTACCTCTACTCCACTACACACTCCACTTCACCTACCTCTACTCCACTACACACTCCACTTCACCTACCTCTACTCCACTACACACTCCACTTCACCTACCTCTACTCCACTACACACTCCACTTCACCTACCTCTACTCCACTACACACTCCACTTCACCTACCTCTACTCCACTACACACTCCACTTCACCTACCTCTACTCCACTACACACTCCACTTCACCTACCTCTACTCCACTACACACTCCACTTCACCTACCTCTACTCCACTACACACTCCACTTCACCTACCTCTACTCCACTACACACTCCACTTCACCTACCTCTACTCCACTACACACTCCACTTCACCTACCTCTACTCCACTACACACTCCACTTCACCTACCTCTACTCCACTACACACTCCACTTCACCTACCTCTACTCCACTACACACTCCACTTCACCTACCTCTACTCCACTACACACTCCACTTCACCTACCTCTACTCCACTACACACTCCACTTCACCTACCTCTACTCCACTACACACTCCACTTCACCTACCTCTACTCCACTACACACTCCACTTCACCTACCTCTACTCCACTACACACTCCACTTCACCTACCTCTACTCCACTACACACTCCACTTCACCTACCTCTACTCCACTACACACTCCACTTCACCTACCTCTACTCCACTACACACTCCACTTCACCTACCTCTACTCCACTACACACTCCACTTCACCTACCTCTACTCCACTACACACTCCACTTCACCTACCTCTACTCCACTACACACTCCACTTCACCTACCTCTACTCCACTACACACTCCACTTCACCTACCTCTACTCCACTACACACTCCACTTCACCTACCTCTACTCCACTACACACTCCACTTCACCTACCTCTACTCCACTACACACTCCACTTCACCTACCTCTACTCCACTACACACTCCACTTCACCTACCTCTACTCCACTACACACTCCACTTCACCTACCTCTACTCCACTACACACTCCACTTCACCTACCTCTACTCCACTACACACTCCACTTCACCTACCTCTACTCCACTACACACTCCACTTCACCTACCTCTACTCCACTACACACTCCACTTCACCTACCTCTACTCCACTACACACTCCACTTCACCTACCTCTACTCCACTACACACTCCACTTCACCTACCTCTACTCCACTACACACTCCACTTCACCTACCTCTACTCCACTACACACTCCACTTCACCTACCTCTACTCCACTACACACTCCACTTCACCTACCTCTACTCCACTACACACTCCACTTCACCTACCTCTACTCCACTACACACTCCACTTCACCTACCTCTACTCCACTACACACTCCACTTCACCTACCTCTACTCCACTACACACTCCACTTCACCTACCTCTACTCCACTACACACTCCACTTCACCTACCTCTACTCCACTACACACTCCACTTCACCTACCTCTACTCCACTACACACTCCACTTCACCTACCTCTACTCCACTACACACTCCACTTCACCTACCTCTACTCCACTACACACTCCACTTCACCTACCTCTACTCCACTACACACTCCACTTCACCTACCTCTACTCCACTACACACTCCACTTCACCTACCTCTACTCCACTACACACTCCACTTCACCTACCTCTACTCCACTACACACTCCACTTCACCTACCTCTACTCCACTACACACTCCACTTCACCTACCTCTACTCCACTACACACTCCACTTCACCTACCTCTACTCCACTACACACTCCACTTCACCTACCTCTACTCCACTACACACTCCACTTCACCTACCTCTACTCCACTACACACTCCACTTCACCTACCTCTACTCCACTACACACTCCACTTCACCTACCTCTACTCCACTACACACTCCACTTCACCTACCTCTACTCCACTACACACTCCACTTCACCTACCTCTACTCCACTACACACTCCACTTCACCTACCTCTACTCCACTACACACTCCACTTCACCTACCTCTACTCCACTACACACTCCACTTCACCTACCTCTACTCCACTACACACTCCACTTCACCTACCTCTACTCCACTACACACTCCACTTCACCTACCTCTACTCCACTACACACTCCACTTCACCTACCTCTACTCCACTACACACTCCACTTCACCTACCTCTACTCCACTACACACTCCACTTCACCTACCTCTACTCCACTACACACTCCACTTCACCTACCTCTACTCCACTACACACTCCACTTCACCTACCTCTACTCCACTACACACTCCACTTCACCTACCTCTACTCCACTACACACTCCACTTCACCTACCTCTACTCCACTACACACTCCACTTCACCTACCTCTACTCCACTACACACTCCACTTCACCTACCTCTACTCCACTACACACTCCACTTCACCTACCTCTACTCCACTACACACTCCACTTCACCTACCTCTACTCCACTACACACTCCACTTCACC